ACTTTATGAGAACTCCCCAAAATTAGCTTTAATGACATCAGAAAGCAACCCAGCATTTATGCCATAGTCTTTGAATACGCTCTATCCCCAGAGATGCTCACGACCAGGGTGGATGAGGCACTAGGAAGCCTCATCTAGCTGGTGACTGGGCAGTAAAAACTGGGGGTGAGGATGCTGGAACAGCATGGTCTTTAATGTATCTTCCAACTCAAGCCATTCTATGATTCCATGATTCCAAGCAAAACAATAGCTTTTGTAAAAAAATATATCATTAGTATACGGGTTCTAGATTTAATTTTTCTTTCCTATACAAAGGTGAATAAAGTGATACACTTTCTATATACTTCAGTTCAAATGTTAACCACTTGAAGCAATTGAAATAGGCAACACTTCAGAACACCAGCGGGCCAGTAGAAGAAAGTCAAGAGATTTCATGCTTGTATCAGAAAATAGTTTTTTAGAACGCCAGTCTTGCAAACCAGAAGCAACACATAATTAACCACTGAAAATACCTGTTGATTTAACAGTATATTGTAATGAATATTTTTCTCCTCAATTTGAATAAGTAACTATGAAATAGAAATACATCTCTGACTGGAAAAATCAACATGTTGAATTCTCCAATGTTATACAAAGTTTCTTATTTACAAATAGCTAACTCATTCAGAATGGAAATGACCTTTATTTAATTCCTTAATGAGAACTTTCATAAATCTTGAGGTCAGTATTGGGTGCTAATTACTTGAAAATACAGCTTCAAGACCTTTGACATAATAATCACACAGCTGGGCCAAATCTCCCAGTTTCAAATTCTCTCTATTAATTTTATCACCATGCACTGGTCTTCAGCTAACCACCATAACAAAGAACGAGACTTACAGTTGGAAAATTATCCTTGTAATAATTAAACATGTAACAGAACTTACCACGAATATAAAAAATGAATTTCATTCATTTTTTTCTGAAACCACCTAGAGGTCATTGTTTTTTCCTTTTTTTTCTCTTTATTTTCTTTATTTTCTTTTCTGTTAAAGTTTTTATTTTAACACATGCATGTCATAGAGTTTATCAGGAAATAAGTCACATAATAAGCTTTTCTCTGTAAAAGATTTGCATAGCATAACCTAAGATCTACTCTAAAATTCTAACATGATATTAGGCTGTGATGCCAAAGGTTTATTCCTTACAAGATGAGTTATTTTTTCAGTTATAATTCAACAATACAAAACAGAGCCAGATGGAAACTGTAGCCAGTTCCTGAGCTAATTACTGAGCTTCATTTGCTACAGAAAGAATTCTATGCCTGTATAAGATTGTTTCTTTGCCATAGAGTGAACACTAAGAACAGTTTTCTTTATTTGATTAGTTACTGTTACAGATACAGTACAATACGATTAACAGCATAATTAGGAATTTTTTTCTTTTCTTTTCTTTCTTTTTTTTTTTTTTTTTTTTAATTGTTGCTCTTCACCCAGTATCATATTTCAGGAATGTGGGGAATTTGAATTTTCTGCAGTGCTAGATTTGAGAAATAATTGTTTTTTTCTTTAAAATATCCTGCATCAAAATACACTGCACACAAACTAATACTTGTTCAAGTGCTGGCAGAATGAGTTACATTGCTCATAGCCCTCGCTAACCAAACAGTGACATCTGAGAAATTTGGTATTTGTTTAAGTACCGGAAGCTTCTAGATAAACGTAAAAAGCTAAACCTAACTCTCAGTTTCAAATATTCAGGCACACTACTGGGTGTTTTGCCACATACCTTTGCATCCTTTGCATCAATGGAAAGCATGTTTTTTCCTCTGCTAATATATTTGTATACAAGCTCTGAAACCAATGCGCATGAAGTTTTTTACCTTTGAAAATCCTATAAAATGCTGGAAATCCCTAATTGTGTTCACATGCAATTGCTCTGAGCCCAAACCAAGTCAACTCTCACTACATCATTTTTCTCTTTTTTAATGTTGCTGCTGTTTATACTGTTTTAATTCAAGAAAAACCCAAAGCTCTCTCACACACAAAAAGACAGTTATCTTAAAAGAGATTTTACAAAATGCCCTTGTAAATGTAAAAATTGTTTACTCTCTCTAAAACAAGGCTGAATCTGAACTACAACCATCTGACTTGTTACAGGCTCTTGCTATAAGCTAGGTTGAACTCCTTAGAGAACACCCTGTCATGGTGGAGCATAGCTAGTTCCCACAGCCAAACTGGAGTTAAACTCAGCACACCTAATTTATTTCATACATGAACTCTTGAAAATAGTTGTTAACCTATCCAGAAGACATTTTTGTTATCTTGACAATTTTCACTCTTTGGCTTTACATTAAGCATTGCTTCCCCTCTCTGGATGTTGTTTTGTCAGACAAGACTAGCCTACAATAGCAATCAGTCACCTCAGGACTCAGGATAACAGAAAAGTAAAAAAAAAAAACACAAAAAAAAAAGTCTTCTAAAGATATAATGACAAAAAGATGTCCCTGAAAAATAATCACAGATTTTCACATTATATTTTTCATGAGTTTTAGTTGCTAAATCACGTGCAGCCTAAAACTCATCCATCTGAGAAGAAAACATTACCTACCACTCTGTGTGACTTTTATCTTTATCATGCTTTGTGGATACTTTTATAGATTTAACAACTGAACCTTCCCGTTTCATGTCAAATATGTTGCACACATTCTAAGGAAAGAAGCAAACAGCATTGAGTCTTACTCAATTTTCTCTTTTCTCTTTCAGCCTTTGCCACCTACTCAGCAGCAGGCTACCTGATTCTGATTCTCTACACATTTACTCAGCATTACCAACCTGGCTGTCCCACCACTGGAATGCAATCAGTCACAGCATAGTAAGTTAAATACCTGTGAAAGCACAGATCAGCACACAGATCATAGCCCCTTTGATATTACCAGTAGGGCTCTGACACTAGCTCAGCATGCTCAGTGGCCACTTTCAGATTTTCTTTATAAAAATTACCCTGTTAGGAAGGTTCATGTGACGTATATTAAACTTTCTATTATTAAAGTGACTGCAAATTATTTATAATGTGAAAAGCTGCAAACTAAGTATAAACAAGCAGTGCTGTAGTTAACTAAGGTAGTTAAGTTGCAGAAATGGTCTGCTCCAGTAAAGTAGTCTCCTACAGTTTTATGAGTTCCAACCAATTTCCAGTATTCATTGAAAAAAATTAATGAAAGTAGAACACTCACTAAAAACAGTTCAGTATGTAGGCCATAACCCCATTTTTTCCTTACATAACTAGACTGTACATTGAGCTATAAACCCACATTTATTTCTCCAGCTCCATTAGAACATAGAATCATAGAATCAAAGAATCATAGAATGGCCTGGGTTGAAAAGGACCACAATGATCATCTGGTTTCAACCCCCTGCTATGTGCAGGGTCGCCAACCACCAGACCAGGCTGCCCAGAGCCACATCCAGCCTGGTCTTGAATGCCTCCAGGGATGGGGCATGCACAACCTCCTTGGGCAACCTGTTCCAGTGTGTCACCACCCTCTAAGTGGAAAACTTCCTCCTAATATCTAACCTAAATCTCCTCTGTCTTAATTTAATACCATTCCCCCTTGTCCTATCATCATCAACCCATGTAAACAGTCGTCCCCTTTCCTGTTTATACACTCCCTTCAAGCACTGGCAGGCCACAATGAGGTCTCCCCAGAGCCGTCTCTTCAAGCTAAACAAGCCCAGTTCCCTCAACCTTTCCTCATAGGAAAGGTGCTCCAGCCCTCTGATCATCTTTGTGGCCCTCCTCCGGACCCACTCCAAGAACTCTGTGTCTTTCTTGTACTGGGAGCCCCCAGCCTGGATGCAGTACTCCAAAGGGGGCCCCACAAGAGCTGAGTAGAAAGGGACAATCACCTCCCTCTCTCCCTGCTGGCCACCCCTTTTTTAATGTAGCCATGATATAGTTGGCTTTTTGGGCTGCAAGCACACACTGATGGCTCATGTCCAGCTTCTAATCCACCAAGATGAGACATACAGAGGAACTATATGTAAGAACTCATACCTCTCCATGTAACTCTAGCAAATCATTAGACAAATGAAATATTTGTAAATATGTAAATAAAGTGAGCTGTTATTAAAAATTAAATTTAAAAAAATAATAATCTAGTGAGTGCAGTGCGAGTGATTTTTTACTTGTTTCTTTTTCTAGGTGTTTACCACGAAGTCTTTATATGAACACAGATAATGCCACAGCTACAAGCAAACATACATCCAACTATATTTACACTCATAACTTCCTAAATTTGCATTTCAGAAAAGCATCCTGTATTGCCTGCCCAACAGTATTGGAAAAAATCAAGATCAATTTCTCAAAACTTCCAGTGTAGCTCTTGGCTAAAAGAAAACAAACAAAAAAATACGAAAAAAAAACAAATAAGATACAATGATTAGATACAATGGACACTCAACAGCTGTACCACCTGCAGGCCTAATCATGACTTTTGACAGTAACAACACAGGTCTACAGGTACTCAGAAATATTTGCAAAAATCTGGAATAAAAAAACTGCCAACAGAGAGATTACTGCTCATGTTCACAACTTAATTCTGAGTCACACTACATGCAATAGTTTTGACTTGACTAATGCTGCATCAGGCATTAATCAGCAAAATTTCTGGCTCATTATCTTCAGAGTTAATTTTAGTGAGTCCTGCTTAATGAGCAGCATTCGTTCCCCTATTTCTTAAGTTAAAATTAGGTGTTTAAAATAAAAACTAATTTCACACAGAGGCGTTACTGCCCACTTGCTCACAGGATAAAAATATATTGTTACAAGTAAGAAAACTAGCATTTGGGAACAAATACAGCATGAAAAGATGAGAAAGTGAAGGTCTAGAAAAAAATATATATATCATCAAATCAGTGGCATATCTTGCTAGTTTTCCACCCACCTTTTCACACCTCTAGAACTACACAGTTGTTACCAGATATCTTTCTGGCTCACAGAGAGCCAAGCGAAGAAGTTACCATCCACGACCTGCCCCAGTTGCACACTAACATCATCTTTATACTGCTGTCTCCTCAGATCATTAAAAACATACACAGCCATTCCTGGCACCAGCTAAAATGTCTAGAGTTAGACTAAATCTTGCTTTTAAATGTGGGTTATTTGACAGAGAAGTTAAGGAGAGGCTACAGGTGCAATTCTACAGCCAGACAGGAGAACACAGGAACTTTTTGCAGGATGTGGTAAAAAAGCAGCTGAGGTAGGCTTGGAGCTGTAAGCTTTTCACCAGTCTCAGCTGTCATCCAGACAGCATTTCAGACCACATGATGAGAGAAATGAGATACAATACCACAAACACAGCAATTGTTATTGGAGATTGGCTGTAGCCTATAGCTATGTCTTATGGAACTAAAAAAGTAACAAAACTCCCTCATTTTCTAAGATATCTTACATTTATGGAATATCCAATACATGAAAAATACTAGACCTGAAGAATTCTCACAGGCCAGGTGGGGACATTTAATGAAACTATATCCTTATAGAATAGGACGTATTCCAGGAGAGGCCAGATTCATACAGGAAAGCAGCTGATATGATGCTCTCACGGAGCTCAGTGGCATTTAAAGTTTGCTATGCAAGCCAGAAAAGGTACTGTGATTACAGTCCCTTAATGAGACAGTTCAGACAACTTTACCTTGGAGCTGTCCAAGGTCCTTTTCTTGGCCATCTTATAGCTCCAGAGCCTCTTAGCTGGACACACACAAAACCTACCCTTAAGAGTTCATTTGTTTCCAAGTCTCAGACTCATAGAGGTGAAAATTAGGTTGTGGCTTAGCCCATTTGGATGCGAACCTAACCAAGACTGATCAATAAATTCAAGTAAATGTCTCCTTCTACACAACAAGTAAAGACCGCTCTGTTGCAATGACTAAGGAAACATTGAATTCAACTTGTTTCTTTGACTCCAGACCAGAGCTCTAGACATCAGGCTTTCTCTCTCCTCTCTGCTTACTTCAAAAATAAATAAATAAATAAATAAATAAATAAATAAAATTTCTCTGCTCATTTCACAATGGCTGCAAATGAGAAACAGGATCTTACAGAGATGTCATGGGAAGTAATTGTTTAATTTAGCTGCTTTTCAATAACTGTATTAGAAGGTGTGTGCAGGCCTCGTTCTCTATGGATCATAAATTTCAGAAGAGAATATCAAAGGCATTTGAAAACATCACCACATTGCTAACTCTGCATCTTTAACCTCTCAAATTATAAAAAAGACAAGTAGTCACTAATAAACACCAGAGATATGCTACCTTTTCTTTTTCCACTATCAGCAATTAGTAATAAATTCAAGTAGATGACACACTGGTTTAATGGAAAAAAAAGAAAAAATAGGAGTAAAGTACTTACTTCCATAATTTCTGTCTGGACAGAACACCCTCTAATCTGATTTATATTCCAGAAGGAAAATAGAAGAAAAATGTAAAATACTCTCTTTCTCATACAAAAAAAAAAAAAAAAAAGAGTTTGCAAAGGGGTAGGGAAGAAAAACATGGGTTAGACAATACTATAGCAACAGCAGAAATGATACAGTATTTTTGTTGCTTCTAAGGAAAAAAAAAATATACTATTTTGAAGCACCTGGCCAGAACTGGCAGTTGAACTCTATTACTCTGTCAGGTGCCATCTGATAAATTCTATACTGTATGAGAGAAGATAAATACAGTAGCTCATGCAAAACATAAAAGAAAGTAATCTCACCAAGCAGACAAACAAATACATGGTATTATCCTTCCTGGAAAGGATTACAAGTAATGAAAACGATGGTATCTCAGTTAATGTAATGTCCGCATTGTTTTTGATGCCCATCTACTGGAGACCTGTTTTTTCCACACTTCTTAGCAAGTGCTTTGGGGAGATAAATAATAAGGTTGCTTGAGATTTCTACCAGGGTTGAACAGTGCGCAACACATATGCTACACACATAGCATTTACTTCAGATTATCAAATGCAGTTGCATCACGTATTGGGAAAACACAAAATCCCCAGAAGTGAAACAGCAGACTCAGTCCTTCAGGGTAGCTGTTGCTTCCTTTTGCTTAATGCCAGTTAGGCCCCAGCTCACTGAAAAAAATTACTACTATTTGTATTTGCTGCTAGGCCATGTTATAAATCAACATTCTCAATCATTCTGGGATGCAGAATGACTTCTTTCAAAATTCAGAGAAAGAAGAAGGTCCTAAAAATCTCTTCTACTAATTAAAAGGCTAATCTTATAATTAAGGTATTTTTGTTTGTTTGTTTTTTAAGCACATAAAGCTTTTTCTCATCATTACTTTCTAGAACATTCTGTTTAGTTCATCTGAATAATTTCACTGCCTGGGGCTTTTCTTCAGACACTGCTCCACAGCAGAACAGGTCTTTCTGGTAAACAGACTCCATCTTCTGTATCTTACCCTAAGATGCCATAAATGTTCTGTTTTACCCTCACAGGTTCTTCTTCTTTAGTTTCAGGGATTTCAGATGCTGCAAATCAATTGTGTTTCTGCCATGAGGACGAGCAAGCACTACTTGCCCTTCCTCTGGCTCAAGTTCTTGAATTTTTCTGTTCAATAATGCTCTCATCTCTCCACAAAAACTCTTAGCTCTCCATGAAAATACATATTTCTGGGAGAAGACAGCTTGACCTCATAATCAGTGCAAAAGAAAACATACCCTCAAAGAGAAAGGCATTTGACCTTTAGGAACTTCAGGAAGGAAATTTTAACCATTTATCTTCCCTGTGATAGCAGTAAAGGAGGCCTGCCTAGGATTCACTTACATTTAGGGAACACATTAACATCCAAGGCGACAAGTAACAAGCAGAACCCACATTATATTGTCACACTGGGTATTTTTTTGTTTTGTCATATGACAAAAAATTGAAATGCATAAAACTATTTTGATTATTTTGCCCACTTCATTGTTCAAATTTCTCATATATTTATAAATATTGTTCTTTTACTATTTTCATTCATGACACATTATTTCAGAATAAAATCAGTCTTTTCATTTTTTTTAATACAAACAGAACATCATTTTGTTATGTACTGTCCCTTATACTGAAATTTTCCTCTGAAAATGGCTACACATTGAAGGAATAGCCTTCACATAAGCAAAATAAATTTAAAAATTATTTTTTTTTAATTTTTACTTAGATGTAATGTTTTCCTACGTCAAGACTGTTAAAGCACACTGCTAAAGATTTAGACTTAGATTTCAAATATGTGAAATCACTACACAACTCCACAGAACTCAGCAGGTTATTTTAGAAAACAGCAAATGAAAAAGTAAACAATAACCAAAAGTAAGACTCCTGAACAGAATATAAAGGTAAAATTTAGGTTGAAAGGGACTTTGTGACCTCCCTCTTGTTTCAAGAGACTGCAAAGTAGGCACGGAAGCCTAGGACTGCCTGCCTCCAGGCTATAGTGTTGACCTGGGTCATGCCAAACCAGGTGCAGAACTTTGAGCTGCATGTGAGAGTACTACTCAAAAGGAGTTTGAAGACAAACAATCCTATTCTAAGGAATTTATATCTTAAATACCTTATAACAGATGAGAAGTAGATGAGACAGGATGAAAAGCAACTTAAGAACAGCATTCTGAGGGAGCACAAAGACAAAAGCAAATTTGAGAATTCAGGCTTAAGGTGTCGCAGAGATAACAGAGATGCTAATCCAGGAATGGGTGATAGAGATAAATAAACCAAGAACATTTGAGAGCTACCTGGACATAAGGCATAAGAATATGAGAAAGATTGAAAGCAAAATAAAATTATGTACAACCTTAGGCATATAGTTCATCTCTTGATTCAAGTACTTTTTTTTTTTTATTTTTTCCATTTCTGAGATTTCAATTAGGCCACATCAAAGATACTACAAGACACACAAAAAGTCTTCAAAAGGAAAAGTAGTATTGCAGCCTGTCAGAGCTACCTGACAAGGGAAAGTTCAATAATCCTTTACTGCACTTGAGCAATGAGAAGAGAAAAATATAAGCTTAGAATATAAGTAATGTATAGATATAGGTATGTGCCTGAAAGGAAATCTCAAATTCATCATGCTAGGCTTTCAAAGACAAACTTTAAACAAAATGGAGGGAGCTGAAAATACCTATTCATTCTGCTTGTGAGAAAAACGAATCTCTCATGCCTTCAGGCAGTAGAGAGTTATGTGGTCTTTTGAACAGAGAAAGTGCAAACTGTAGAGGATCAGAATGAATAAATGTTAAGATGCCAGTCTGACAGGGCTTTGGGGAATCTACTCAATAACAATATTTTTTAGATGTATCACATAGGAATGGTGTATTTGTTATAGTTATTTACACCTCACAAAGTAAGCCAATAAAAAAGAAAGGACGTGTTTATGCATGAAAGAGCAAAGATGGAACAAAAAGACATATCTACATGAGAACACATAAAAGGTGTACCAGTCACTTCTAGGTAATCTGAAAAAGAGCAAACAAACAAACCAAAAATACTTGGAAACTTTTAACTGGACCAGACTGTAAAAAAAGATTAATGTTGTCCACTTAGCATCTTTCAAGCACTGAAAGATTAGCCTGATTAGTAGGGCTCTTTCTCTCAATTTACAGAAAGACTTGAAATGCAAGATTCATTGAGTCCTTATTGCAAGAAGCCGCCTCTTTATCATGAAAAGGCAGAGGCAAGTAATCTAGTGGAGGAAGTTTCCTACTGTTATGGCTGTAGCAATTAGGACAAGGGTAGCATCCAATATCTGAAAATGAGATTTAAACATCTGAAGAAAACTTCATCAGGAATCCGTGGTGTTCAGTCTGCTACAAAGATCCCTGATTATTGGAGTAGGATAATGGAGTAGTTGTGGAGAAGCCACAGAAAAGGTCAGTATGATGAGGAAGTTAATAACAAATCTCATCTCCACTGCAAAAATTCTTCCTGTTCTACTGGCAGGAGTTCCAGTAAAAAAAAATAAAAAAAAAAAAAAAGAGAGAGACTTTTGGCCTAGACAGAGTACACCTTAGGGTTGAGATTCACCTTTATATGCAAATATATATTGCCTTGACGAGCCAAAAATTAGCAT